GACAGCCATGGGACGCGTTCTCCGCTGGAGCGATTGTGTCGGCCCTGACGTTCCGCTGCTCGCCGGTCAACGGTGCACGAGATTTCTTGGCCGCGCGCAATGGCTCGATGCATCCCGTTTGGGAGCCCTTGAAGTCGATGGGAGCCGCGGACACGGGCGAGTTCGATGGAAAGATTGATGGATTGAAATCCTTAATGGCCTTAATCCCTTCAGCCCTTAGTAAATGTAGAGCCTGAACCCGTCTCCCTAAACAGTTCCCTTTTTTAGTCATTCACATGGATGTTTTTATTACATTACCGACGCGGTTAGTTAAATAATTGCATTAAAGAAGCAGACTTAGGAATTAATTGTAGAAACAAATAATAGTGAAAGGAAGAATTGAGCAGCTCCTATGAGCGTGATCAATTTCAAGAAGAGATAGACTAAACAGCTCCTACAAGCACGGTTAGCCCGAAGAATATAGAAGAGGGGAAGCTTGGAAGAAATCAACACATGTATACTTTCTTCTTTTCTTTTGAAATTGTGATATATTGAGAGATATTCCACCAACATTTTGATTTATCAGAATGATGCCGATCAAAAATGACTCGATTTTCGCTCCATTTAGGCGCCAGTCGGTGGCGCTCGTAAGTCGGGAGGAAGGGAGAACTCGAATTTCCCAGAATTATTAGGTGTGGGAAAAAGTTCGTTTTTCCCGTTAAATGTAGTGGAAAAATTGCCAAATTTAGAAAATGATTTTTCATATGGAAATATTAGTCATATCGCACTGAAATTCGGCACAGTTGCCACGAATTCAATTTAGAACTGACGGATCAACTTAGGTTTACGTTAATTGATGGAATTTTAAAGTAATTAATAAATTAAATTTTGGGTCTTTCTCCGTGGTCCGCATCTCTTTCTCGGCGTTCGCTAACGCAACAAATTCGTATTTACTTATCTATTTCAGGCTAATTAAAGCGGTCACGAGGCCAAAAGATAGTAAATCAAAAAATATATTAAACATAATGTTAGACTTCGAAATTAATAGCATTCTCGGCTAGAGCGGCTGAAATCTCACTAAGAATTCGGAGCGACGAGCGACACGCGCGTCGCAGACTATGATTGGTACTCAATAGGTTATTCTTATTCTGAGAGATTATAGACATTGAGATGTTTCGATCGGATTAATTTTTCTTAAACCTCGTGTAGGATGGTAATAACATGACAGTCGCAACATATGGGAACGATTTCTTGACTTGGCGTGGAGTTATCCTGTCTGGAATTTCATCGCAATACGTCGCTATGCAGCACGCGCCTTACGGATGCTTCGATTGACTCACGCGACATGTCACGCGATGTTGGACAACAGAATCATACCACGTCGAATAAGTTTCGCTAGGAATATTTCAATTAGAAATACTTTAGATAGACGATGTGAGATTAAATAATGAAAAATAATTTAGCGCAAAATGAAAAAAAAAAGAAAATAAAATTATATTTCTACGGAGGGCAGGACGTAAAAAGCTTTTGTTTTGATCTCTGTTTGGACTATAATTAATAGATCAGAATAATAGATATAATTAATAGAATCAGAATTTTTCCCTTCTTTTTTCTTTTTCTTTGCGATTAACGTTTTAAGTGTATAATTAAAAATTATTCATTAATTTCAACATAATTGATACTGATTCGCTGAATGGTCAAAAACTGGTTTTTGAGACTAAATCGATAGAATTTAAATGTTTGCGATGGTGAATTTTTGTTTCAGTGAGCTATCTTTTATTATTTTACAATAAATCATTTTTGCTTCCCCAACAAATTTACCTTTCAATAATTTTAATACATTTTAGATTGTTATTAGAGTTTGTTTTTATATTATAGTTTTTATATTATAGTTTCTGATAATAGATTGAGGTGACTCACTGAAATGAATTAGTTTGTAAAAAAAAAAAAATTTTTATAATTACGTCATACAATATTGTCTCTGATGGTTTAAAAGTAAGCTAAAACATATAAGCGGATTAATTATTAATAAAGTTGTTTTGTTAATCATATTGATTTGCATAAGAATTACCGTGCTTGACTCTTGTTAAATCCACTTTGTATCGGAGTCTTTAGGAATTAATTTATATTTAGTTATAAAAATAACAAATATTCTAGAAACTAGAATTAAGAAACCACCACTTTTCTTTATAGAACTGCATCAAAAGGAAAATAGCATGACAGTAAAAAAAATCTGTTAAATATAATAATTACTTTTGAAACCATATGAAAAAAATTAAATCAATGTTCCAGATATCAAGCATATTAGCATACGAAGAATTATTGCTTCAGAAGATCAAAATGCATCAAATGAGCAGGAAAACACCTAACTAACTGATTGTACTAAACTAATGATACTAACTAATGATTGTACTAAAAAACAGATGTTTAACGAAGTAAAATGCTGCAACTGCGAAGGAAACTATCCTGTACGTTACAAAGGCTAAGTAATTACATCAAAAACTATTTCCTTAAGTTAAGGGAAAAAATAGAAGCAGATCCAAATACGAAATCAAATTTAAGGAATGAACAACAAAGCAGAAACAAGATCAACACAACCAACTACAAGTTATGCTGAGATATTAAAAGAAAATCCTATAAATTAACCAAACCTAGAAGATAATAATATTTATAATAAGTGATCCGCTAGTTATGACACCAAACACCTGGCCAACAAATTCGAAGAAATGATAACGCTCTTTATAGATACAGTGTTAAATCTATTAACAGCCCTGATCACTAAAATGAAATAATGGCCCGTATATCAAAATACATAATTTATATTAAATATTATATTAAATATGAAATATATATTAAATACATAAATATTAAAATATTAGGAATCTGGAATGCCAACGGACTTATTCCAAGAAGCAATGAACTTAAATATTTTTTATCCAAACACAACATAAACGTAATGCTTATTTCAGAAACAAAAAAGCTACCTAAAAAATCCAAATTATATAATCTACGATATCCAACATCTATGGATGGCACTCTAATTATTAAAACAGCTATTAAGCATCATAAAAACGAGAAGTATTCTCAGAACTATCTACTACAATCAACAAGTATCACTATAGAAGATTGGATAGGACCTATTACTTTTTCAGCTATATGTAGCTCGCCAAAGCACGCAAACAAGAACATTATACTAATTATTTCAAAACTCTTAGTCACAGGTTTATTGCTGGTGGCGACTATAATGCGAAACACGTGATAATGATCTTAAGTAATTCAAAAGGAAAGCAATTATATTTAGCAATGTTGCAAAATAATCTACACCCGATATCTACAGGTGAACCCATCTACTGGCTAGCTGATTGTAGAAAAATACTAGATGTTATAGATTTCTGTATTGTGAAGAGGATAGTAACGCACTACTTCAAAGCAGAATTATGTTATGACCTAACATCGAATCATTCCCCAATAATAATTACAGTTAATACAACTATAAATATAGAGTAACCTCTAACTCTGTCCAATGCAAAAACAAATTGGCGTCTAATCAGAGACCTTTTAAACAAATAAATAACATATAAAATATCACTGAAAATTAACGAAAAATTAGAGATGGCAATAGACAGTCTCAATATTAAAATACAAAAAGCGGCCTGGAAATCAACTCCTACAGCGCATAATGTTAGAAATTCAATGCATTGTCTACTAAATATTAAACTTAAAATTGCAAAAAAATTTCGCAAAAAATAGCAAACATCAAGATCACCGAATGATAAAACGAATTTAAATAAAATCGAAAAGCAATTTAAAAAATTAATAAATAGCGAATAAAATGATCGAAAAGTTTTTCTTAGAAAAGTTTTTCTTAGAGCTCATTCTTACAGAAGCAACAGACTACTCACTATGGAAAATCAAAGAAGTTAAAAAAGAATTCTAATCAACTAAAATTACCTTCGGTAAAACAAGAAAACGGAAAATGGACTAGTAAAGATAAAATCAAATTATTTTTCGAACACCTTAAAAAAGTATTTTTGAATCATACTTGCAAGAAAGATCAGAAGAAAAACAAAGAATAATATTAAACTATCTCTAGACGCTCCTTGGTATCCGAATGCATTTTTTTTATATCTTTAATCAATATTAATATTATTACTGTAGAAAATATTGATATATTAAACATATATTGCGTTCGGGCAGATGCTACCTGTATTTTCTTATTTTTATAGTATATTGGATGTAAAACAAAAGTAGAATGACACAAATAGCGCAAATAGCGCTAATAGCATTTTCCCAAATTCTAAATATTGTCTACATAAAAATTTATTAATTTTATACCATTTGAAATAAATAAATTTATTAATACTCTAAAAAAGATCTATAAGAAATTAATTACAAATGTGTGTAATTATATTTAAAATTGAAAAAGTGTTTATAATCTCTTTCTCTTGTTCACATTTATTGTATAAAGAAAAGCTCTGATGCATTACTATCATATACTTTTATAAGAAGAGCGTAATGATGATCGTATAATAGTGAAATATGACACCACTAATAACAGTTTACGCTGCGCTAGCGTAAGTTCGTCTCGCGAATCTTGCTCTGTGTTTTACTTGGTGTTCTGATTCAAAACATATATAACAATTCTCAAGTCAGCATTGCCATTTTGAATTACTCTCCTTATTCCCCAATCTTGCTCCAGCAGACTTTTTATTCCCTAAGCTAAAGAAGGTGATGAAAGAGACTCGATTTAACATTTCGAATTTTAGAATCATGTGTCAATAAGATTTGTTACAATTTCTAAAAGCTGTACGAACATTGTCAGAAGTGTATTACCTCTAGCGGATTATTTTGAAGGACAATGAAAGTCATTTGTATATTAATTAAATGGTGTTTATTTTTTCACTCACCGAATTTTATTGCTACATATGTCTTATTATAATTTCGAGTTGTGTATATTATAATCATATGATCTTTGGTATAATAAGAATATTATAAGAATATATTTTATCATTATGTTGTAGAGCCAATATTTGGCAAGGCAATTTTCCTACAGAGAATACTGAAGAAGACGGATACAAAGGCACATCACCAGTTACAATGTTTTCGCAGAATAGATATGGTTTGCATAATATTATTGGAAATGTTTGGGAATGGACAGCGGATTGGTGGATAACAAAGCACTCAAGTGATCGATTAATAAATCCAGTAAGCATTTATTTATTTAAATACTTTCTTATTTAAGTGAAAATGTAATAAAGTATGTATTATATATATATATAGTATATTATTTTTTTTTATATATATATATATATATATATATAAAGCAAGTAAAAAATCCTATACTGGTGAAATATCTCGAAAACTAAGCATTTTCGAAAGAAATGTTTTCTACAAAAGTTGTAGGGTTTTAAATAATCTATTTACTGATCTGATCAATGTTGTTCAGGACCATGTTTTGTAGAAAACATTTCTTTCAAAAATGCTTAATTTTTGAGATATTTCATTGATTCTGGAATTTTTACTCACCCTGTATTTACCGAATGTTTAAAATAAAGCGTTACAAATTTCTATCGTGGAAACAGAACAATATTGAGAAAATTGTTCAGTAATCCTAAAAAAAAAAAAGTTGTAGAGTTCAAAAAGGTCTATTTATCATCTTATCAGTTTGACCTTGGGTGACGTCACTAAGATCAAAGTCACATCGATTTTTTTTAATGGAATATTATATTTTTGCTTCCAGAATCTACTAGCTGATGTTGAGAGCTTTCCGAAACGCAATAAGAAAATATTCTTTATGAAGTACTTTACGAAAAGTTACAGTACCAGGTCCAACCGATGGCTAAAACTTCTTGAATTTTGTTCAGAATAATGTCCTGGATAACATTTGTCAAGAGAAAAGTCATTGGAGATTGTATCTCTTTTCTTCATTTTTTACATAAAAGTGAATTTTTAACGCAAAAATGAAAATAAGAAGAATAATCTCCAATGACCTTTATGTTGACAAATGTTATCCAGGACATGATCCTAAATAACATTCAAAGTTTTAGCCGTTGGTCGGATATTTTAGATAATGCCAATGATCCTGTAATTTTTAAACATCATAATTCAAAAAGTACTCAATAAGAAATAACTTTATTATAGTGTTTTGGAAAGCTCTCGACATCGGTTATTAGATTCTGAAATTAAAAATGGAGAATTCCGTTTTAAAAAATCGATGTTACCTGATCTTGGCGACGCCATCTAAAGTCAAACTGATAAGATCAGCAAATAGATCTTCTTGAATTCTACTTTTGTCCGTTTTTCATAATGCATAATGTGTTTCTAAGATAAAAATTTGTAATACTTTATTTTTAATATTCAGTATACATTATATATTATAATAAGACGGTTCATGTCGATTTTTAGATTGGTTCTTCTAGTGGTAGTGATAAAGTGAAGAAAGGTGGCTCATATCTATGTCACAAAACTTATTGCTACAGATACAGATGTGCTGCACGTAGTCAAAACACACCTGATACATCAGCTGGAAATTTAGGTTTTAGATGTGCTATATCAGCATAGGAAGAGATTAAAACTTCGAACTTCTGGATATCAAGATTAAATATGAATAAAAAAATTACATTTTATTTACGTTTAAAATTTGTGTCAGAAATTTGTACCTATTAGGTATACAATTTTGCTTCCGCCGTTTTCCTATAGATGGCTTTAGCCATCGGTAAGTGGTGGTCGAAATAAATAGATCATAGACGTCATACAATAAACTTGGGCATCTGTCAACATAACCCCATAGAAATATTAGTCCATTTGTGTCTGCATCATAAAGTTATTCTCGAAAATGTCAGTTTACGAGCCAAATTCTCGTCATTTGCGGGAAGTTTTAATTTTTTGCTTCAATATGAAGAAATCTGCGGTTGAGGCTCATCGAATGCTCTCAAATACTTATGGTGAGGCCGCTATTAGTGAAAGAACGTGTTGTGAGTGGTTTCAACGCTTCAAGAACGGTGATTTTGATGTCCAAGGTCATGCTCTGTATTTGGTGGGATCAGCTCGGCGTAGTGTATGAACTGTTAAAACCGACTGAAACAATCACAAGCGATCGGTATCGAACGCAATTGATGCCGAGCATTGAAAGACAAACGGCCGCAATACAACGAGAGACACGATAAAATGATTTTGCAGCATGACAATGCTCGACCCCATGTTGCGAAAGTGATCAAGACATACTTGGAAACGTTGAAATGGGAAGTCCTACCCCATCCGCCGTATTCTCCAGACGTTGCTCCCTCTGACTATCACTTGTTTCGATCAATGGCACACGGCCTGACTGACCAGCACTTCCGATCTTATGAAGAAGTAAAAAATTGGATCGATTCGTGGATAGCCTCAAAAGATGACCAATTTTTTCGACGCGGGATTCGTACGCTATCCGAAAGATGGGAGAAAGTAGTGGCCAGCGATGGACAACTTTGAATCATAAATGTAACCAGTTTTTTACAATAAAGAATTTCGGAAAAAAACGGCGGAAGCAAAGTTGTACACCTAATACATAAAATTATAATATGTTACGTTTAATAAAACTTTTTTAAATAAAATAAAAGATATTTTGGAAAAAGAAATTAATTAAATACGAGAAAAATATCGATTTTCAATTGAAGTGGATCTTAGAGCTTAGAGCTTTCTCCTAGAGATTGAGTTTCTACAGATTTTTTTGAAATTTGGATATTATTTAAAATAATTTTAACTATATAATTAAAATTTAAATGACCTAGCGGTATCGAAATGAAGATATTCACTTTCAAAGTTTCAGTTTTTAACACGTAAACTTCTATATCACGCCTTGCCGAAGTAACATTTTAATACTTTGCGGCAAAAAGCTTTTACTTGGAAAATCTTTTGCTCTTTATCATTGAACGACGACGAAACCGCCAGTCTTGCGATGATCGACGCTACATCATTGTTGGGAGGCCCGGATCATTCAACGACGCGTGACAATCAGCTTGTGCGCACATCAAGCGATACATAGGTAGAAAACTATTCAGACAATCGTGTAAACCATCAGAGTAGGTTTTATACGCGATTCGAGATGCTCTTTCAAAATATCTAACGACGTCGCGTCAGTGATTCTCAAAAAGCAACGCGCAACGTTTAAAGGCGTGCATGCGAATTCGCACATATGTCGAATCAATAATCGTACTCACTCCCGCGATAGCAATTCAGCCTCAAGAACGTAAGGTCAAACTAGATAACTATTGGTCTGAATACAATCAGATTCAATCACGATTCAAATTAATCGAAAAGATCGAGGTTCATGACCGTGTTAGTTTCGAAGACGCGTTTTACACATTATCCACTAGAATTCGCGAGCTATTAAACCCAACACTTCCGGTCCCGCGCGAGGCGGCAGCGTCGACCTCGACATTTAGCGTTCGTGAATCCTCGGATAACCTTATGCATGTACCATTGCCGAAGCTCAATCTTTCAACATTCTCGGGTAGCTATGATCAGTGGTTCCCATTCTACGATTACTTCACATCGGTAATACACACGAATGTGTCGCTTAATAACATTCAAAAGAAAAAAAAAACAAAAATATAATGTACGAACAATGAGAGCACAGCGTGAGAATTGTTGTGCAATTTATATAGTAGTTATAAATTCTTCCATATAATATATTAGAAACAATGACTTTTCAATACAGACTTCGTACGTTTCGGTTTACTTCAAACCATCTTCAGCAAATTCGTAGAACATAATATATATCGGAAGTAGAACCGTTGGACATTGTTGAAGTTATGCTTTATGTGAAACTTAGGATGAATATCTCTCAATTGTTTGATAGGGAGTAGTCCCTTTTCTGCCTCTCCGCTATTTAGCCAAGTGACTAACAGAGTAAAATAGGTATAATAATTTCTATTAGAATTCAATTTTTGCTTATCTTACTCACCCTCATTCCCCATAGATCACAACTCGGTCGCTTAAAACGCAAGTCAAATTATAAAAGTCAAATTATAAAAAATACGATTAATGAAACGCATTTGTTCTTAATTAGAATAAAATAATAAATTTATAAAATGAACAATATACAATATATAATCGTCAAACCTGTATTATCGAGAAGTCAAAGGAGCAATGGTATAATCAAAATCCATCAAAAATATAATCTAAGCGCCACATTCGTGGAAATATACAAAACATACGCGTAGCACTATAATAAAAACAAACTTTAAGATGAATACATAATGTCAACATTGTTTGAATTTCTCTAAAATGCTCACATAAAAATGGTAACTCCGAGTATGATTGCAAATTCAAACCATTTGATTGCAATGAAACTGCATCGAATATGCAGTTCATTTCCGAAATGAACCTTCTCCTCAATTGTCTTTCTCTATCTAAGATTTTTACTTTTTCCCAATTCAAATTCATTCTGTGTTCCAATCTATGCTGTGTGATCACAGTTTCACAGGAAGTTTTTTTTGATATCATTTTTGTATTCTTTAACTCTTGTTTTTAATAAACGTCCTATTTGTTCAACATAGGTTGCATCACAGTCTCGACATTCTATTTTAAACAACATTTTTGTTGGAACTTGAACGGAATCTGTTCTTATGGCTTTTTATAATTCCATCTAATTTATCGATGCTACGGTAACAAAGATTCGCCTCTATCCCTCGCTATGTTTTTGAATTTATCAAAAATTGCAGGCAAATAGGGAACCGTGATCCAACTGTTCCTCGCATTTTCATTTTCCATATCACTGTTACATTGTTTTGATATGTCTTGATGAATAAAAGATTTAATTGTAGAATTAATGACGCTGAAAATAAATTCAATAAGATAATTATTTTTCATGAAACTAGTAATTATAAATTCTATGTTTTTTGTAATACTTAGGATGCGACAACAAAAGAGTCCTGTCCAACATCCCGATAATAACTCCTTTTTTTTGTGTTAGCAGATGAAGAGAATGAAAATTCATGAACTTACCGGAAAATGACGGTTTGTGAAACCAATCAAATTCTATTACATTTTTGTTCATGATTAGTGTTACATCAAGAAAATTTAATTTGTCCTCTCCAATTTTCAGTGTGAATTTGATTCTTGAGTGTATTAAGTTGAATTCAGAATTTCATTAACAGAGTCATATGGAAACTGCCAAAGCAATGTCGTCTACGTATCTAACATAGAATGGTAAGTCAATTCTC